AGAGAGAGAGAGAGAGAGAGAGAGAGAGAGAGAGAGAGAGAGAGAGAGAGAGAGAGAGAGAGAGAGTTAAGAAAACGAACCAACGAGTAAAGTTGTCCTTCAGGAGGACATCCGTTTAAAGTTGGAATGATACAGAGAAGCGTAGCATGGCCCCTGCTCAAGGATGACACACAGAAAACACGAGAAATGGCCCAAATATCGGAGCAAGAGTCCCAACAGAACACGATTCCGGTTGGAAGACTTGTTGAGAGCATTCGCATCCTCATCGCTTTTGGGCATCTCAGAAAACCGGTCATAAGACAACCATTTTTTTTTTGAAATGGAGTTCGCAGTCATCTGCCTTTTCTGTCCTGTAATGTTCTTCATTTCCGTCTGTGACAGGTCTGTCAGGCTTTTGGTATCAGGAGTGTAAAAAACAAGGGCCCATGCATGGCCCCATGCTGACCAAACTCCCATTCTCCATACGACACGACAGTGCATGACGCTAGGACTGTGCGTGTTGCTTTTCACTGTTGGGAAAATGGCAGGCAGATTGTACAACTTCGTGGACATGGAGCTGGGCAAGGCCTTGACTTTGCCTCTTCCTCGCAGTTTGGATCAGGATCTAGTGCGATGTGGTATCCAGCCGATGCAGCAGGGCGACCCTGGAGGGCAGCAGCAAGCTCTCTCACATGCAAGGCGGCTGTCGAAATGCAGACTAGACCCAAGCCAACAAAAATAATGGATTCATATCTCATCACATGTCTGCCAGGTGATGGGCAGGTACGTTTTCTTTCTCCCTTCGTTACACCCATGGACTGTTGAAATATGAATCAGACCCAAGTTCGAAACCAGATGCAACCAGATGATGAACAGGATCAAATCATTCTGAATTACCTGGGCCCGGTCAATTCAATGATCATATCTTGGAAGCTGGAACTGTTGTCCTTCTTTTTTAAGAAAAAGGGGGCGACTTGAAGTATGTTGATGTCGCTTTTGAGTATCGAATGAGCAAAAAAAAACACGCGCCGGCAAAGAAAACAGGGTGGAGTTCGAACAAGCAATGAAAGTATCAACGGCCGTGGTGTCAGGCTGGGGTGTCATAACTACAGGGGTTGGCCATAGTGTCAGATGGAAAAAAAAAGGAAAAAAAAGAAAGTGCAATGGATTCTTTTCTACCCAAATTGCCGTTTCAAACTCGCCCCGTGATATCTTTGTGGGCGCATGTTTTTTTTTGCCTTTGCGAAGTCGAAACCTGCCGCGTCCGCCTTTGTTAAAAAAAAAAAAAAACTTAAACCTCCAGTACTTGGCCCCGCTATCAGCCGCAGATGAATTTGGGCGCTCCTGTAGTGGCCCGTACGTTTCCTAAAACCGCGGCTTGTTAACGGGCACGACTTTAGGAAGTACTGGCGGCTGTTAAAGCATACCACTGAGGAAAAACACTCTTCCATCATTATCTGACGTACACAAAAAAAATAATAAAAAGGAAAGAAGGAAGAGCACTCTCAGGAGTCTCAGCCTTTTGGGCAAGTTCAAGTATAGGATCCTTTTTTCTGGGCAAGCTCAAGTATTGGATCCTTTTTCCTGGGCAAGTTCAAGTATAGGATCCTTTTTTCTGGGCAAGTTCACATATAGGATCCTTT